TTGTATGAAAATTACAAAATCTAATGCCCTAATAGAACCTTGCCTTCTTCTCTTCTCTCTCTCACATTCCTCATTTCCCTTCCTTTTGAATTTCACGAGCTAGCCATGTATTAAGAATCAAAGTTTTGTGTCGTGTGCTACAACACATGTTGCACATGCTGTGGCGTGTGGTATAGTAAGGGAAACTCCCATGCGCTCTTACATTTGCTCTGCAATGCTGTCTTTCCACTTAATCCTATTCATTCAACATCCCAACAAGTTAAAACTCTAAATTACCATTTAAAATCTTAATCACTCATTAATTTATCCTTAATTAGCAATTAGTTTTAAAACTAGAAAATTTGAATGTAACCCAACTATAGCTATGTGTGTGTGTGCGTGCGCTTGAGAAATTTCATGAGTATGTGTGTTAATTGGTGTATGTGTGGTGTGATCAAGTGTTTTACACCCTAGTTTATGGTTTTGGGAGTTTTGGAAAGTTTGACAATGTGTTTTGAACTTGTTGGAGTTTTAGTGGATAAAATTTTCATTCAGTAGAATGTGTGTGTCAAACTAAAACTATTAGTTATATTACTTAATAAATTTCTTGTGGACAGTTGAATCACCTAATTTGGATGTCTATGTTAAAATTTTTGAGCATTCAAAGTTGGTAGTTGGGAATTGATTTTTGATAGCTAACTATTGTTGTCACTTAGTAATGAGTTGCAACACATGCTTCTCATGCTACGGTGCTCTACTCGTTTGTGAGGTTGATGCCTTTGTGCCATCAACTGCTACACAGACCGTGTATATCACAGTGGACAGCCTTGATTTTTTTCAAAGTTGTCCCCTTTTTGTTAACTTTTTTTGGGAAGGTCCGTTTTGAATTGTCTATCCTCTTTTAGCTTGATTTTGGACAAATTTTCCCTAGGAAACATGCTTTCTCATTAAAGTGGTTGGGAAATAATAATTTAGGTTTTGTTATTTGAAAAGTTTTGTGATCCCACTCTTGATATTAAAAATCTTACTATGTCTTCTTTTAAATTACCATGGTAGAACCATTTGATGTTGATAAACTCTTTTATTACCATGGTAGTCGATTTTTAAGTAAGTTCTAATTGTAAGGAAAATCTTATTCTACCATGATAAGTTTTCTTTAATTATTTCACTTCTAATTACTATGGTAGTGATTTGAAAATATACTTTACTTTTAATTACTATGATAGACACTTTTATATCATAGTAGGATTAAATAGTTTATGTTCCAAATTTAAATGAAAGTAAAGATGGTGTTTAAGTGAGGATGTTTCAATCCTTTCTACTATAATCAATACCTGTTGGTACACTTCTTAGTTTTTTTAATCTTATTTATAAGACATTTTTAAATGAATTACATCAATCAATAAATCAATTCAAATGGACAATCATAATAGTTTTATATTTTTTTCAACAGTGTATTTACATTAATTCCTTTCCCGTTGTATTTTCATTAACGGATATCTCTAAAAAATTTGTGAATTTTTAACATTAGTAAATTTTTTATTTATATTTGTTTTAAAAAAGTAATAAATAATTTTGTCCGAAAAATGTAGAAGTGACACCCATAATAAATAAGAGGAAGTATGGGAGGCTATTCAAAAAATGTGAGCTGAATCCAGGACCTGTAACTTAATTAGTAAAATTTATTTACCCAGCGTGAAAATTTTTTGTGCCACATAGATTTTCATTTGTAAATGTTAAAAATTTAGACAAGGTGGAAAAATAGCAAAATTTTTATATTTTAAAAGATCATATCAGATTCATTATAAAAAATAGCATGGATATAAGATTCTTAGTAACTTTTAAATTATATATAATAATAATAATAATAAATTGTAGAATAAAATATAATTCTAATTGTTTTAAAAATAATTTAAATATATTTTATTAAAATTATAAATTTTAAATAAGAATAAATATAAAATTATGTTGACAAATAATCTCTTGTTATATTAAATTTTTATTTCATTAATTTTTTGTACATGTGTTTGAAATATTATTTTGGAAAAATTATATATTTAAATTTTTTAAAATACTACATAAATAAGTTTGTATAAATATTAAGTTTAAAATAACAATAAAAATTTAAAAAAAATATATCATTTAAATGTTATGAGGGTAACTTGAATAAGTTTTTGACAAGATTCATATTTAAACAGAGATATTTTTATTCAACAATTTAACCATTAACTGACAGTTGGGTGAATAGAAGTGAAAACTTAAAATTAGAAGATATACTAGTATTTTCTAACTATTAATTTTAAGAGAGGTTTGTATATATTTTAAAATATTAAGTAATAATAAAAATTAATATAAAATAAGTAAGAAAAAATGTAATTTAATTTAAATTATAAGTATATTTAAATAATTTTTTAATTTTTCGATTTATATTTATATCTATTTTTTATTTTTTATGTATTAAAATATTCCTCTGCATCACGCGGGAATAAATCTAATTAATTAAGAAATGTGATTAAAATCAGTTAAGAGTCTTGATTTCATTAAAAATTACTGTAACATTTTTAAATGACACTTGAACTGTTAATATATAAATTAATTATCAATGTCGGTATAAAATATAAAATTTATTTTACTTTCGATTATCTATTTGAGTTATACGTAATATCACTTTTATGCAATCATGAGACCCAATCTAGTTTTAGATTTAAAATGGTTGACAACCTCAAGTAACTCCCCCCCTTTTCCGAGTCCATGTATGTATTTAGGCAAAATTACTCCTTTCACTCTTATGTTTAAGACAAAGAAAAATAAATTTTTTGATCTTATTTACAAGACATGCCATTAACTTTTGCCCCCACTAAATATTGATGAAAGAAAATATATTATTAAATTATGTATGCTTAACTGGGGATAAATTTGAAGATTTATTAATATACACCCTTGGTCTCAAATTATAAAATATTTTTTAAAAAATTCAGTATTCTAAAATATAAGACACTTTGATAAAAATAGTTTTATTAATGATGCTTTTTAAATATTACTCTTTTCATATATTTTTTCTTTAATATTCTTTTAAAAATAGAATATTAAATGAAGGGTATTTTTAAAAGTTTATATTTTTATTTTAAAAAAATTAAGGTAAGAAAGTATATTTAATGAGCTTTATTAGTATACATGATTTTATTTAAAAGTATTTTATAATTGGCTAAAATGTACAAAACTCTCTTAAATTTTGAGATAGTTGCATATAACCTCTCTCACCTTTAAAAATTTAAAATTAGCCCCCTTAACTTTTAATTTTATTTTTCAAAACCCCTTATTTTAATTATTTTATTTTATATGAGGGTTAAAATATCATTCAACTAAAAAATATTATTAAACAAAAATATTATATTATATTATATTATATAATTATTTATAATAAATTTCTTATATTTTTTTGGATAATTGAGGCATTGATAAAAAAAATATTATTATCATGGTATAAATTTTAAATATTTATTCTTATATTAGTTTTATCCATATTTTTTTTATCAATGGTGCATGATTTTATTATTTTAAAAGATCAATTTTTATTTTTATTTTTATTTTTATGTTAGATTAATGTAATACACATGGCTAAAATATTTAAAATTTTAAATATTATCATATTATATTAAATTATCTTTTAATATTAAAAAACTATGCATCATTGATAATAAAAAAAATCATGCATCATTGATGATAAAAAATTAGAAAAAACTAACATAAAAATAAATATTTAAAATTTTTATATGGTGATAATACCATTTGTTTTGGCTATTATCAATGCCTCAACTATTCAAAAAATATAAAAAAATTATCATAAATTATTATACAATATAATATTTTTATTTAATAATATTTTTTAGTTGAATGATATTTTAACCTTCATGAAAAAATAACATAATTAACAATAAGAGATTTTGTGAAACAAAATTAAAGGTTAGGGGGCTTAATTTTAAATTTTTAAAAGTAGGGGAGTTATATATAATTGTCTTAAAATTCAAATTTTTTTATATATTTTAATCTTTATAATTTGAAATGGAGCGAGTAATTAAAGAAGGTTAATAAAAATTAACTTTGATCATTGTTGACCAGAAAAAAGTTGAAAAAAAGACCAAGAAAATTACAAAAAAAGGCCAAAAAGTCACATCGAATTTATAGCATCTACTTATGAAGTACTTGTAAGAATCACGATCGTCAAAACTAATAAAATATAATTAAATTATTAACTTTATTTTTTTAAGAAAATAATTTAAGAAAATAATTTTTTAAAGGTACTCATATGTAAAATCATGATTTGTATCGAAGGAACAATATGGAGAAAAATTGTATGAAAATCAACTTGGTGACTTAAAATGATTAACTTTTTCTCCAAGAAAATGTTTTATAGTAACAACTTAATATTTTGTTTGGATGGAAATAAAAAAAATAAAGAGGAAGAATAATTAGGAGAGAAAACATTTAGAAATAATAATTGATATTATTTTCCTCATTTAATGTGTAAATTTGAGGCTTTGAGCGCAAGAAAAAATAAAGTTTTTTTAACCCATTTGCATTATAATTTTATATCACTAGTGAATAACTGGCAATTCTTTTTCATTATTAAAAGTTTCAATTTTAGTGAAATTATGTAGTTTTTATCTATCAAGTTTTAGATAAGAATGCAATAACTCTAGGTAATTATGTGATTCTTCTGTGTCTATTGCGTGTATTTAAATGGTTTCTTTGTCAAGTTCTGTGTAAGCTTTGCATAGCTGTCAAGCCTTAAAATAATGTGATTTATCCTCATCATATATGGATATTTTGAAACAGAAAATTAGTCACTATCTGTCAACATTTACGTTAGAGTTTTGCATGTTAGACAAGTGTTATGTCCTATAACACATAGGTGTCATCATTTGAGACGCCAATTTGTTGTAGCTCTCTCACCTCCTTCCTCACCTAAACTCTTTATATATGTCAAAGCTCTCCTTCACACTTCTCACAATCTCATCCATAGAAACTCTATTAGAGTTCTCTTTCCTTTCTCCTTCATATTGCAGATTCTAATCATTGATCGAGCTTATAAAGGTGAACTCCTTGGGTGCCTTGCTCTTGCCTGAAGAAAAAGGTGAACTCCTTGGACTAGTTTTTTGTTTAAGTTTTTAGCTTGCCACCATAAGTATTTTGAATTAGATAGATCTTGTTAATTCTTGTTTCTGGTGTGTGTTTGTGGATATTTAAATTGTGAATTGTAAAGTTTCTTACTCACCTGTACTAATTATTTAGTGTGAATTTTTTACCTTTGACTAAAAATTTACATTATAATTAATGCAGCTAGGTGCCCCTTCATACAGTGTGATATGGACTGGACCGTCAAATTAGCTCAAACATCATGGATCATTTGGAATTTTACTCACATTCTAAACATTAAAAAGATCTCAAAAGCATTGACAAGAAAGGGAGCAAGTAAGTATAGAAAATTATAGATAATCAATTAATATATGATGAGTCTTATTTAAGTTCTTGAAAATGATCTCTGTTTTCTTCCCAATCAAAAAATCATTTACATGCAAATACTCACGAAACATCTTGGGCTCTTAATTTGGTGTGCATGTTAACTCAGATAGCGTGAAGCTTCTCATGATTTTGTATTGGAAAAGTCTCAATCCCACTCATGATTTATGATATTTCTCAAATAATTATGGTTTTATTGGTAGCATAATCAATTTATATAAATAAATATGTTTACCCTTATAGAATTGTAAGGACTAAAGGGCAAAAATGTCTTGAAATTTTTTTGGGAGAGAAGAGGATATTCTAAATTTTTTTTGAAGTAGTTGATTCACCTAGGTAGTCATGGACATTCAGCATCACGTTTTTTCACAAACATTTGATTCTGAGTCTCCACAGACACCATTGACGACAATTTGCTTGGGTAGAAGTTTTCATGGCTTTTAAGTATCACGTTTTCCTCAAACATAATATTATTATTCTTTGCAGGCACTATTGACGAGGATTCGCCCGTGTGGAAGTTGTCATGGCCGTTCAGCGTCATGTTAAACATATGATTCCGATTTCCGAGTCTCTGCTTGCACCATCGTCGATGATCCATAAGTGTAATACTTATCATGGCTATTCAATGTCATGTTACCCTCAAACATATGATTCTAAGTCCTCGCTGGCATCATTGGTGATGATTCACCTGAGTAGAAGTTACCAAAGGATGTAAGCATCATGTTTCCCACAAAATTCTGATTTCTAGTCACCGGACTTGCTTGGAGCTTTGGAGCCTGAGCCAACAAAGCAGTCAAGGAACTACTCGAAAACTTGAATGTTGTATTTTGACGAGGCTCCCTCATCAGTTTTTTTTTTTTTTTTAAATTGCCATTGGTGGCTGCCGATTTCACAATAAAACTCAAATTCACAGTGAACTCATGGTCAACAATGACAACATGGCAAAATTATACTCTTTTTAAAAGTTTCAAGGTGACATTGCTTTAAAAAAATTAGAATATCAAATACTCTTATCAAAATTTTTTTTCCCTTTACCCCGAGTTCTAACTAATAAAATTTTCAAATTTCAAGGGTGTAAGTAGGGGGTCCATCCTATTCTTGCGTGATTGTGTGTAAATGTATGTTATTATACTATCCCGTCATAATTTATAAGATATTTTTTAAAAAAATTATCATCTCAAAATATAAGATATTTTTACAAAAATAAAATTTCATTAACAATGCTCTTCAAATATTACCTTTTTTTTAATTATATTCTCTCCCTCTAATAATGAAGGGTGCGTTTTGGAAGCTTAAATTTTTGTTTGAAAAAAATAGGTTGTTAATGAGTTGTATTGGACCAATACTATTGGTACATGTGTGATTTTATATATGGTGAGTATTGTTTGATTTATTTAGCTAGTCTAAGTGGTTTTAATTAATAAGTTGTTGTAGCAGGCACATTATATGTCTGATTAATTTGATTGAACATTCTGTTGAGAGGAATTTAATCGCTTTACTTATTTCTTTTCCTTTATTTTTTTTAAACTTTTCAAAAATATACTTTTATCCCCTTAAGTTTACATCAAATTTCATTTCATATTGTTAATTAATTTAGTGTATTTTTTCAAGGGAATTTCAGAAAAAAATAGTCCTCTTCCATCATCATTATTTATTAATTTTAAACTGATTTTAAAATATTTTTAAAATTTAAATTTAATCAAAAAATAATATAAATTAACAATGCTTTGATAATAACTTATTATCCGTGTATGATGTAATAGTTAACTTTTTTCTTAATATTTTGAAAATTACCTTATAATAATTTAAAGATACTTTAGAAGTAAGACAAAATTAATCAATGAAAAAAGATATAAAAGTAATTTGGTTTTCTTTTTCATTTTTTTTAGACTTAACTGAGAAAATTGCATGCCATCATTTTACATTTAATTGATTAACTGTGTCAGGGAAGAGACAAATTTCGGCCTATAAAAGATTGAAAAGAAACTAAACAAACTTAAATGACTAAAATAGAACTCGATATGAATTTAATAGACTAAAATTGTATTTTGCCTTTTTTTTTATTGTGATATTGTTCTCCAAGCAAACAATAACTAGACTAGATTTAACTGATGAAATGATGATTTTTTGGTCATGTGAACAGATAAAGCATTTAGAAAGGTAATGATTTCTTTGTGGATGTAATTTTAAAGACACTTAGCATTTTGTGGCATCGATGGATCCCAAAGACACCATGTCTGCTGTGAGCTCATTCCTACAAAGACAACTATATCTCATCACCATTAATTCAACAAATAGAGATATGTACACAAGTTGCAACCATATTGGAAGCCTTAAAGATGATCATCAGAATTATCATTCATGGGCCATTACAAAATTTGCCATGGTTTCTATTATTTGGGGGCTTTTGAAAAGATAGGTTTAAGTTTGTAACTATCTTTGTTTTTTAGGGGAATTAATTCAATGTAATCTTAATTTGGCATGTCAGAAATGTATAAAGGCTGGGGTTCGAGTCCCAACACTAGTGTATGTAGCAACCCTTGTATAAAAAATTTAAGTGTCTACATTTGCCTTCAGTATCTTAGAAGAGAAAATATTATTTACTGTGGACGGGTTTATTCCTTGTATATAAAAAAATGTATTGTACTTTGTGCATTTATATATATATATATATGTATGTATGTATGTATGTATGTATGTATGTATATTACCAAGAAAAACAATTTTTTGTACTAAGGGATGAAATAAATACTCAACTCTTCCATATATATTTAAAATTTTGGGTAAAAGAGAAAATTAGCTGCTAAACTATAAGTTCACGAGCGTATGTGACACTAAACTTATTTTTAATGCAATATTTTCTTTCAACTTTTAAAAATAATGCAATCTAATTAATATCATTAACAAATATTAACTTTGACTATTAGTTGATTAGAAAATAATAGAAAAGGATATCAAAAATTACAGTCAAGAAGCTAAAAAATTTCCTTGGTTCTTTAAGATAATTTTTTGAGTCCTATAATTTACTATAATTTTTGGTCATTTTCTATAATTGTTAAGGTCATTTGTTGTCAAATTAATGGTCAAAGCTAACTTTGTTAATGGCAGGAGTCAGATTGTATTATTTTCAAAAGTTGATAGGAAACATTGCATACAAAATGAGTTTAAAGTCCTAGATGTTCTTAAACATATAATTTAGGAGTCAATTTACTCTCTTTTATCCTAAAATTTTTAATTAGTATTTTTTACATAATAAATTTATTTTTTAAGATTATTGACATTTAAACAATTATGTTTATTTTGGATTAATTTGCATATATTAAAATAATTGATTAAAATATAAAAAGATAAAGAAATATTATATCTAAATGATTTGATTTTAATTTGGTTGGTTTGGATTCATGCTCATTATATTGCCATAGATGATAATGTGGTGATGAGCATTGAAATTTAAGTTAGAGCCTTGTATACATATGCTTGAGAATTATATGATGGTTAACAGTGAAACGGTCGTTGATAATATAATCACTATCTTTAGAACTTTAGACATTTGAATCTTGCATGTTTGGCAATTGTGGTGAGATAAGTGTTGAAACTCTCTACGAAAATTGATATAACCAATTTTTAAAACTTTACATTAGAGTCTTGCATGTTTGACAAATGTATGGTGATTAGTAGTGAAATGGCCTTCAAAAATATAATCACTATCTTCAAGGCTTTACATGCTAGAGTCTTGCATGTTTGGCAATTGTAATGGGATAAGCATTGAAACTGTCTTCAAAAATTCATATAACTAGTTTTTAAAGTTTTATGTTAGAGTCTTGCATGTTTGACAAATTGTATGATTGACAATTATGGTGGTATAAGCATTCAAATCATCTTTGGAAATAAATATAACCATTATTTCTAAAGTTTTACATTAGAATCTTGCATGCTTGACAGTTGTACGATAATTAGCAGTGAAACAATTCCTAAAAATATAATTACCACTATGTTTAAAGTTTTACATTAGAGCGTTGCGTCTTTGACAATTGTATGATTAGCGATGAAGTCAGGAAATTTTATTAGAGGATTGAGATGAAAAAAATATATATGATAATCAAAAGAAAGTTATATACACACACACATACATATCACTGATATAACATAAATATTTTATCATATTTATTTATATTTAGTTTTACAAATATATAGTAAAAATAAATATATATTTTCATGTTTTAAGTTTTGTTTATTGATTTTTCATGGCATAAGAATTATTAATTATTATGCTTATGAAAAATTTTTTAACAATTTCCTTCTCAATGTAAACAATAATTAAATTTATGAAAATTTCAACTTCCTCTTGAGCATTGAACGATTCAAATGTATTCTTGAGATTTAAAGTTCTTTCTAATCTAAGAAGCTCTACCATTTACTTGCTAAATTTAATATTTAATTCTTTTAGTTAATAATCATAGTAAATAAATATATCAATATGATAATAATGCATAATTGTCACAAAATCTTTATGTCTATGAGATTAAATTATGTCAATATAAAAATTATTCATATAATAAATTTTAATATCTTGGTTATTACATAAAAATGTAATTTTTTTTAGAAGAATATATCTTAACCATAACCTCTTAACTTTTGGATAAATAATTTTATGATAGATATTAAGCACATAACATTCAATATATCTTAAGATTTTTGTTACAATACTCAACAAAGTTTGTTAGTAATAATTTTCATAATTTTTGTCATTAAATATAAAATGAAAATAAAATCAAATGACACATAGGAATTGACTATCTCTTTTATAAAGTGTCTTTTAATAAGAACCAAGAAAAAATACTACTTAAAAGTTATGAATAGCACGGCTTAATTCTTAAAGTCCATCTCCATGTAATTGCAGTATATTTCAAAACGATGCCAAATCCTTGAATAAAAATGGTGCTATCAAAGAGGATCTTCATCATATATGGCCAAAATAAAAAAGATCTTTGTCACAGAAAAGCGAAGGAAAGAGAATCAGCTGTGGAATTTTTTAAATAATAATTTTATGTTTCATAAGTTGACTGAACGAAAAAATAACATATTTTAACATTTTATAGTGGAAGTCGTCATTTTTTTATTGCTTTTATGTATCATTTTAATGGAAGAAATATTATTCAAAGCACGATGAAATACTAAATATGATCATTTCTCTAAGTAAAAATTTAAACCTTAATTTGCCACATTATGAAAAATTAGTCCCTTCCATTAGGCCCAACGCCATTAATAAAGAAACTGTGGCTTTAATTAATTAATTAATCCATTAACACTCCTATGAGCTCTGCCTATTCACATCGAATTTATAGCATCTACTTATGAAGCACTTATAACAATCTCGATCATCAATACTAATAAAAGGTAACTAAATTATTAACTTTAGTTAAAAATAAAATATTTTTAAAGTCACGCATATTTAAAATCATGAATTGTACTAAGAAACAATATGGAGAACAATTGCATCAAAACCAAACTTGGTGACTTATAATGATTATTTGTTTCTCCAAGAAAATGTTTTATAAAGTAATAACTTAATCTTTCGTTTGGATGAAAAGAAAAGTAAAAAGGAAGAAAAACTAGAAGAAAAAACCTTTAAAAATAACATTTGATATTATTTTCTTGATTTAATCTGTAAATTTGAGTGCAAGAAAAAAATGAAGCTTTTTTAATCCATTTTCATCATAATTTTATATTACTAGCAAATAAATGGCAATTCGTTCTCATTAAAAGCTTCAATTATAGTAAATTATGTAATTTTTATCTATCAAATTTTAAATTATAATGCAATAACTTCAGGTAATTAAGTGATTCTTCTGTGTCTATTGTGTATTTAAATAGTTTCCTCATCAAGTTCCATGTTACTTTTGCATAGTTGTCAACCCTTAAAACAATTCAATTTTCCTTTGTCATTTTGCATATTTGCTAACAGAAAATTA